TGGCTCCATGGCAGAGGTGCTTCAGCCTGCAGGGCATTGGGACAGTCATTTTTAAGGATGAGAGATTTCTAACCCACTGTAACAGGGTCAGCAATGAAAAAAACCTCCTCAGAGAGAGCAGCTTTGCAGTGCTGCCTCATTCCACCATCCAAAACAACTTTGGCAAGCTCTATCCCTGATCTAAATTGCCAACTCTATGTCACACCCCATCAGCTCAGTCTATTGAAACCTCTGTTCAAACTTGGATTGTGTTTGCCTGTGCAGATCTCAGAGATGGATTTAATTCCCTGTGCAACAGCCAGAGATCCTGCAGTTTCAGCACAGAAATCAGTCAGCAGCCCTCAAAAAAAAAGCAAGGATGGAAAGTAGAGAGCTTTGCCACCTTGAATCCTCCCAGCAAATCTTCCCAAGCTGTCCCAGCTCAGCTGCTGCAAGGTGCCAGGTGGGATTTACCAGTGTCTTAGCTTGGATATGGGGAATCCTCTCTGCCCTAAAGCCAGTGTTCCCATTTCATGCTCACCAGAGTATGCAGGAGCAGAAGGAATACTGGAAGGTTTCTGTGCTACTGGACTATTTGGATACAAACATCTTGAGTTTCTGATCCAAAATATTGAATCTGGGAACTACCTTCTGTATCAAGTCCTAGTCAACTTATTTCCTCCCCTGGGAGGGTCTTTACTGAGGAGCAGTGAAGGGACAAGATGGGGCTGTGCTTTCCAGATCCCCTTGCACTCCCAAATCTGATTATCAGTAATCATGACTTAAGGCCAACAAGTTTAACACGAGTCATGTCATGACAATCTTTTCCCTGGAAGAGCGAATCAGGCAGTTCCCACTGAGCACATACAGAGCTGTCAACCCAGATCACAAGATCTGCTTGGCAGGAGGATCTACTGACCCCTGATAATCCAGCTGCCCTGTGCACTGAGGGCATTACCACATCAGCTGGGTAAGTCCTGGTGATGGGGAGCTGATGAGCCGGTGGCAAATCAACCTGGACCATGCCCATGCTCAGGAAAGCCAAGTTTGGGCTCAGCATCAAACCCTTCCCAGGGAGGTGGTAGAGTCACCATCCCTGGAAGTGTTTAAGTGCCATCTGGATCTGACACAGGAGGATATGGCTTAAGGGTTACAGCAGAGTGACAGGTTAATGGTTGGACTTGATGATCTCAGAATTCTCCTCCAACCCTGATGATGTTATAATTCTACGATTTTTGGTTCAAATCTCCCTTTTCCTTCACAATCTACTAATTTCTTGGCACAAGGATCAGAGTCATCTTAACACCAAGCAAACCCATGGCAGCCTGGATAAGAAGGTGGGTTTGGAATACTCACTCATCATGGTTCACTTGCCACTGGTTGATAAACACACAGGTGTCCTTGGGGATGTAGTAGCCATTCAGTGCTGTCGCTTTTGTGGTGCTGAAGGAAACACGGGTGAGTTAGAGGAGACCCACAGCTTCAGGAGGGATCAAAGTCTGGCAAGTCCTGAGGGG